AAATAATTATTTAAAAGTAATATTCCATAGCTTTATTATAAAACCCCTTGTTTGCCTAGAGCTCAGAACAGAATCTCAGTCAGAACTCTTGCTCCTAAAAATATTTAATCCCCCTGAGTGATCCCTATGGCATAAGATGAGTGCTTTGAAACTCCTGACCTGGCGTTTCTCTGTTGGCAGAGAGCTTGGTGAGCACGCTCAGGTTTTGGATTCTGGTTTTGTTTTGCAGAGCACGTTGGCAACAGTGAACATTCAGCTGCTGCCAGACAAAGGGGAAAGGCTACTGAAGCAAGTGCAGGATTTGGAAGCTGCACTCAGTGCTCTCAACATTTCGACAGCAGATACTACTGAAAAAAGTAGGGCTACATCTTTTTGGCTCCAGAACCTTGCAAAATAATTTGTCTTCCTGTAGTTATTGATGGAAAAAATAGCATAAACTTCTAGATGGCATGTGATGTAGATAAAGTTTGTCTGTTGAGATTTCACTGCAGGTGAAAAGCTCTCAAGTTCTTCACCCGTTTCTTCTTCGATGTTTTGATACTTTTTGTGACCAAAACATTGACCAGAAATTTGTCTTTGGAAAGGAATAAATCCTCTGCAGACTGTGCAGGACTGACCTGATGTTTGCACTCCTCTGATCCCAGCTGCAGAGTTCAGTGTTGGCAAAAACTGCACAGCCTGTCACGCAGGAGTGTGCACAGCAGGAGCTGCAGTGTCTCTGGCAGCATGGTGGCCTGCTGCATGCTGTTAAACCCCTGTGACTACTCAGTGCTGCTTTCTCTGGGCTGTAGCAGAAGGTTCTGAGGCCCCTCGTGCAGCCTTTCCAACCTGTGATCCCTTTCTCCTGAAGGGGAGGATGCCACGAGCGGCGGGCGGCGCGAGGGGGCCTTTTCTCTCTCCCGCCGGCTGGCGGCCGCCGTGAGGAGCCTTTGCCTGTGTCCCTTGGCAGGCCTGGTGGTACAAAGTTGATAACACCACTGCCACTGCAGGATCCTACAGCAAAGACCTCCTCAGGCTCACACAGTCACCCCTCTGCTGCTGCTGCCTTGGGTTCCAGTGAACATTATGGCCATGGGTTTGGAAGTAAGTACAGAAAGAGCTTTTTTTTTCACTAAGGAGGACACTGGTGAGGGCTAATCCTGAACTAATTCTGCAACCTGTGGATAGATGTGAGAGTGATAAACCTTTTTTTGTTACTGTGAGCTGCACACTGTCTCCCCAGGCATCTGTAGCCACTGAGATCAATCTCTGAGGTGAAAGATCTGCTGCAAACACCTCGTGTGTAACACTGTCTTTCCAGTGCAGAGCCTGTATGGAGGAAGAATGACAGAAGACCGAATCAGGGCTGTCCACAGTGCCATAAGTGAGGCTATTAATCATCTCCACAAATCTCTGGAATCCTGTCCAGCAAAGCAGACAGCAGCTGAAGATCCCTTGGGGTTGAAGGTGAGTTGGCAAGTGTGGAAGGTGTGATGTTGATGAATTAAGTTACATCTGGGTGATACCCTAGAGCGTCCTGTCCTTTCACACTGTGAAGTGCTTTGCAGTTCTCATCCTGCTGGAAGGAGATAGTCTCATCACTTTCCATGAGAGCTGCTTCAGATTGACAGTGCTGATGTTCTACCTTCTTGCTGTGGTGTCTTCAGAGTAGTGCTAGAATGAAGTCACAGTGTCTCAGAGCATTTCTTCATGTTTGTTTCTGCATGACTGGCAGAACAGAGAGAGGCCTCTAGTGAGGAGCAGACTGAGAACCACCTTATTGTTCTTTTCTCCCAGTTTACTGTTGTATGATGGTGGTATCTAGTCCCTCTTCCTGTCCCTGAAGAGTCTGTAGGGGTCTTGGACTTGGTGAGCAAAGGGAGGTGTTCTCAGTCCCTCTCCTGACAGTGATGCCTGTCAGAACTTTCCCAAGTGTTCCCTCAAGTCCTGTCTGTCCCTCTCAGGTCCCACTGCTGCCACACCAAAAGCAGGCCCTCGCCTGGCTGCTCTGGAGGGAGAGTCAGAGGCCTTGTGGAGGAATTCTGGGTAAGCAACACAGCAGGAAAGTGGATCTGGGGGGCCAGATTTATGACAGCAACACTTTGGCACAGAAAATAGCTAATACCTAGATATTTTGTATGCATGTCTAAGGGGCTGGTTCTTCTGTGCCCTTTGACCTATTACAGCTATTAACCCATGACTAAACCATACCCTGAAATGCTCATGTGTGTATTTTTCTTTCCATTTCTGCTGCAGGGTTTACCTCAGTGTAGATCTGGGGAGGTTTGGAGGCTCATTTCTGCAGGTCATAACCTCTGTGTGTCGTTTTCCAGCGGATGACATGGGCTTGGGGAAGACTCTAACCATGATTGCTCTCATTCTGGCCCAGAAGCAGCTGAAGAGAGAGAACAGGAAGGAGAAGTTAGAGTTATGGCTATCCAAAGAAGGTACAGAGTTGTTTCCATCCTACAGCACATACATGGTGATGCAATGCCATTTGACATGTCTGAAGCATTATAGGTCACTGGTTTCTAAATAACAGACTCTCCTGTGCTCACTTCCCTTCTGTAGGAAAATCCCTTTGGGCTTAATGTTCACTGCACTCCCTTGGAAGGCCTTTCTTACCATCAGTGGCATTTGTTCTTCCACTGCATGTGAAGGATTTCCCAATTCATTAGTTCATATTGTCTTGGGGTTTGTTATTAGTTTTCTGAACCAGTTGAAACTTTTCAGAACTGCATACATGTTTTTTTTAACATATGCATAGTTTTCATAGCATAAGGACTCTGATTACTCCTCTTGCCCCTGTGACTGATTTCTTCTTTTTTTTTCCCCCTCATAAGATGACTCTTATCTTGTCCACATAGACAAGAGAAGTTAGAGGTTTTTAAAAAGCATTGTCTCTGTCCACAGCTGTTAATTGTTGTGAATTTGGTAGAATCATAGAACAGTTGGGGTTGGAAGGGTTAAAGATCATCTCATTCCACCCCCCCTGCCAGGGGCAGGGACACTTCCCACTAGACCAGGTTATCCAAAGCCCCATCCAACCTGGTCTTGAACACCTCCAGTGATGGAGCATCCACAACTTCTCTGGACAACCAGTTCCAGTGTCTCACCACCCTCATAACAACTTCCTTGTATGTAATGAAAATCTACCCCTTTCCAGTTTGAACCCATTACCCCTCACCTGATCACTACAAGCCCTTGTAAACAGTCCTTCCCCAGCTTTCTTGTGGAGCCCCCTTTGGATCCTGGAAGGCCACCACAAGGTCTCCCTGGAGCCTGCCCTCCTCCAGGCTGAACAACCCTAACTCTCTCAGACTGCCCTTGGAGGAGAGGTGTTCCTTTCCCAAACTTCTGTCTTTGTTGTAGTCTAAGGTGAAGTCATTGAAACCTGTCTGCAATATTTCTCTGCAGATTCCACCATTATCCCTTCCTGGAGCACTTTAATTGTTTGTCCTGCATCTTTGATCCATCACTGGAAGAAAGAGATTGAGAGACATGTAGGCTGTGGCAAACTGAGGGTCTACTTGTACCATGGGCCAAACAGGGATAAACATGCAAAGGTGTAAGTGCTAAATCATAAATATGACCAAGAACAGTGAAATGCTACTTAGCAAGAGCTTGTGTATATCAGAGTTGAAATTCAGTGGCTGTAGAATGATGGAAGAACTTGAAATATAGTGGAGGATCCAGGTCAGACTGATGTCTGCTGTCAAGGTGTATACAACAAAACCCTTATGGTCTGTACCCATGCTGAGTGGTTCTGCTACAGGCTGTTACCACCCCAATAAGTAAAAAAACTCAAACCAAACAGTGACAGTTTCTTCCATGCATTTGTCTTGTGGCTGTATTTTTTTAAATTGGTTGTATGTATAGATCAGAAAACTCTCTACACCACTTAAGGTCATGCTGAGCAGTAGGTGCCAGATTCTGAGTAGGGCTTACCACATGTGGTGTGCATTCTGTACCACTGGTTTCACTGTCTCCTTGAGCTTGTTGTGTCTGCTTCCAGCACCCATAAAATGGGAACATGTCCTTCATGTCTGACTGCTGTGAAGCTCAGTTTTCTGTGAAACCCCTCCTTTTCAGCTCTTTGTAGAACTGTTGTTCTGAAGCCTTTGGCAAGCATCTTGTCTTGTAAAATTAATTCCTCATTTGTCCTTCCTCCTGCTGACTCTTCCCTCTGTGCAGGCTTTCTGAACACGATGTTGTTGTCACAACCTACAGCCTGGTCTCCAAGGAGGTTCCCACAAGCAAAGAGGAAGGGGATGTCCCTGCAGAGGACCATGATGTGGGGGTGAGAACCCATTTTGCAGACAGAAGATTGCTTTACTGTTTGGTTCTGGGGTGTTGCAAGCCATGACTGTTTCATATAGTGCCTTCTGTATGCTACAGTGAGCAGCAGGTGGGATTTTTTTTTCTATGAGTCCCCTGTTGACTTTTTGGAATAAAAATAAAGAGAAAATGTTGTGAAGTGCAGACAGATAACAGGGAAAAACAATCACCATAAATCTGTTTTGTAGTAATACAGAACATGCTACACTGAACAGAGCTGAAGGGTCCTGAGTCATTTTTAAGAGTGCTGTGATGAATTTCATACTCCTTTTTTTTGAGGTGAGACTGTGAAGCAACCCTAGAATTTCCTGTTTGGTGTTCTTTGCTGCTTGAAAAACTTAAACTACCAGAAACCTGTCACACTCAGGCTCTGGGTTAGTCTGAACTGAGGCTGAGGTAGCTTACTTGTTCCATTCTTGAAGAAACTGCAGTGTATTTATTGGGCTATGAAAATAATAAAGCAATTGCTGAATTTGAAGTGAACTTGGCTTCAGAGTATAGAGGACATCCCTTGCTGGTGGATTTTGTCCCCTGCCTGTGTGTACAGATCCAGATGTAGCTCTTGCAGCAAGTGAATTTATTTGAATTTCCTTGAAGTTCAAGGTGGCATCCATAAAACCCTAGAGAGATCAGAATAATTATGATGTTCTTGGTCCTAGCCTAGCAAAATTGTAGTGATATGCAATGCTTCTTGGGAAGAAAGGGGCAAGAAGATGTTAGAAGCAATAAAACCAGAGAAAGATGAGATGAACAGGCAAACATTGTATTCTCCAGCTCATAAACTTTCATGGAAGCTTTGAAAAGATAATTTTTTTGTTTGTTTTTTTTTGAGAGCATCACTTTAATGACAGCAAGAGCCCAGATTACTGCCAACTAACATCAGGAAGAGGCTTCCTGCTAGAAAAATGTTTGCCTGTGGCCCTTTAGAGAGCCTAGGAAGGTTATTCCTGAGTTACAAACTGTGCTTTTCCTTTCAGAGTGGGTCATCTCCCTGCTCCCCTCTGCTCAGGATAGCTTGGGCTCGAGTTATACTGGATGAAGCTCACAACATTAAAAACCCCAGGGTCCAAACCTCTATAGCTGTGTCCAAACTGAGAGCCAGTGCCAGGTGGGCTGTCACAGGGACACCCATCCAGAACAACCTGCTGGACATGTACTCCCTGCTGAGGTGAGTGGCTGCAGGAGGATGTGTCAACAGGGCTCCAATTCCAGGGATTGCCACAGGGCTGACCATGTGCCTTCTGTTGCCTGTAGGTGTTCTGCTTCCATCAAGAAAGGTTCCTTCAAATCTCTTATGTCTCCCAAGATGAATATCCACAAAACCAGTTTTAATGGGCAGGAGTTTTGAGTGATAATCCTTACTCCTGCCAGGGCAGGAGCTCATTCAAGAGTTTTGTGCTACAAGGGCATTGAAGGAAACACTTTGAACTTCTCTAAATAAATGATAAACTGGCTCAACTCTGTGCTCCTCATTGCTGAGAGGGGGAAAGATGATGAAGGGTGTTGGAGAACCAGAGACAACTTGGATTTTAAATTAATTCTGGTTAATTTAAATTTATTTTCAAGTAAGAGAGGTATGGGATTTTGAAATGACAAATGAATATGCTTTTTGGCAAGTGCTTTTGCATCTTGATGTCCTTCATTTGCTGGTGATGCTTGAGACATAGTGAGCCAAGAGGAAGTGAAGGGTCCCAAATCAGAAAGGTGCTTTCACAGTGTTGGTGACAGACTTTTGAGCAAACAAGTTATTGATGCCATTACACTGCAAGTGTTTTACTGCTCCTGGCAGTTATGGCCTTTGGAAATGGCAAGAAATTTGGTTCTCATCACTCAAGAGTGACTGAGGAACTCTTCTTCCCTTGATCTGAAGCCTCCTTCCTTCCTTCCTGTCATAGGTTTCTACGTTGCTCTCCTTTTGATGAATACAAAGTGTGGAAGCACCAGGTAGATAACAACACAAAGAAGGGAGGAGAGAGGCTGAGCCTCCTAACCAGGAGCCTCTTACTTCGGAGAACTAAGGACCAGCTGGATTCAGCTGGCAAGCCCTTGGTAAGAACTTCACCCTCCAGCACAAAACAACCCTTCTGTTGTTTTCCTTGCAGCACCCAGTTAGTTATTTCCCTGCATCAGTGTCTCAATGGGTGGATTTTCCTGTCTGCTGCAGCCTCTTGAGCTAGAGGAGCAAATGCCTGTGGGATGCTTTGGTGGCTTATCCAGAAAGCAGAAATACACAGAATAATTAAACCTTTTAGTTACAAATCACATGCATGCAAGAATATGTCAAGTAGTTGCTGGTGGATGTCCACTTAGTGGAAGGTCTCTGAGCTAGCCTAGATCACTTCTCTTTCCTTGGGGTTTATTTCTCTCTTTTTTACATATATATATATATATAT